CAAAGTGTGATTGATTCATTAGAATCACCTGGTAATTTGTTAAAAATGCAAATCATTGGGCACCATTCCAGACCTACTGAATTAAATAGTCCAGGAGAGAGTTCAGTGATGTGTATTTTAGCAAGGTTTCCAAGCAGTTCTGAGGTATGCTAAAGAGTAAGAACTATGGGCATGGAATATTAGTTATTTTAGATGAGGAATCTTTAGGCTCATGTAGCCCCAAAGTATAAAGTAGAGAGAAAAGTGAAAATAAAACAGAAGGTAATTTCTACCCTCTGTTGTAGGAAGTTCTTAGCTAAAGACTTAACAAATCTGACTAAAGAGTTTTTCAAGAAAATTAATCAACTAAAAACATACTACATTTCTGGGCAGTCAGATGCATTTTCTAATTAACACAAAGTTAATAATTATGATTGCATGATACAGACAGGCATAATTAGGACAAAATAATTAAGTTATCCATAAAAGTATATGAAAATATAATAAAACATTGTTAAATTGGATAGAATTGCATTCCAAATTCCTTAACTTGTTCAAGAGAGTTTATTACAACAAGCTAAATGAATCAAAAGATTTTATTCTTTTTGAGACATATATTATTGCTTTTTGGTCAGCAAAGAAAATTTAGGTAAGCAAACAAGTCCCCTCCATGACTTTTTTCTAGATATTTTAGTAGTACCTAATTTCTAGCATTTGGATACCTATCAATAGGTTAACAGACCTGTGAATAACGATGCATTCTTCTATTTAAGGAGAGTGTACCCATATAAGATTGTGAAGGAGTAAGGCATATTCTGCTTATACAGCATAGTCATAATAATTCTTCTAAATAAGTTAGTATAAGTGTTATAGATTTCATACCAAGTACCTTATTACTTGTTCCAATTAAGTTTCGATTATCTGATTTTATTTGTATGCATAAGATCATAAACTTTAGAAAAAGACTACTAAACATTTGTATAGGCCATAGTCATGTATTTTTGTGAAGATGAACACAGACCAGTATTTATTTTTAATTCATGTTCACTGAGTAGACCCATGAAACTATTAAGCTATTAAAATAACAGTACCCCAAATATATTTAACTTGAGTTATTTGACTCACTAGCAAAAATGCCCCCAATCTTTTATCAGTAAATGAACATTAATAACTCATCCTTATAATCTTTTTGCTATTTTGTGTCATAAAGGGATAAACAATTTAGACTAGGGATTGCTTTGGGTCTAAGCCACCCGTTAGTCAATCTAAGCTACTGCTTGATAATTTTATCTTTTGGTTATAATGATTGCCAAAGTAGTAGACACAAAAAAAATCAACTGGGATATTTTTAGAGATAGACTTCAGGATTCATACATAAATGGGCTTTTTCTTCATTGTATCTGTAACTAAAAAATGTCCTGAGGAATAATCAGAGAGGATCTGACAAAGATTTTGATTTTTATGCAAGAAAACATTTTGGAAAGTCATTTGACAGGAGAAATAATTTAATGGTTTGTGTTCCTCCTTTGATAATTTTTTAATAGGCACAAAAGAATTCATGATGCTGTTCAGGGTATTTTCCAAGGGGCTGTTAAAAGTGACTCAAGAGGTATCTTTGAAACCATGCAATAGCACCACTATCCCCAAATTGTTATAATATTAGACAATGGTCTCACCATTGGATTTTTCTACCAAAAATCAAGGATCGAATCATTCTTTCTGCATTCAATGAAAGAAGCTACTGATCCTGTAATGATCTGCTGGTCCAAGAGTGATCAGGTTAAGTGGTAGACACCTGCTGTAGCAAGCATGCAATCAGGTCTGCAAACAACCAGCAGTTTGCAGCACTTTCAAAGCAAGCATCCCCGAGGTCAGAAGCCAACTAATAAAAACAAGGCATTACAAACTATTTTGAGCAAATGCACAAGCGATCATTTGTTAAGTCAATTTTATAGAATCCTAGTACAGATGGTGGGAGATAATATAATAACCGACTCCTAAAAGGAAAAGTGAAATGTAAACTGGAGAGCTTCCCTTAGTAATACCAAAGTTTTATAACCATATCTACTGTGAGAGAAAAAAAGCCCTGAAAATTGAAATTAGTACATAGCATATTACCTACAAAAGTTACTAAATAGGCCCATTTGAAGAGCTGTCTGTAATTTTCAAATCAAGTGGGGGCAATTTTGTAATTCTCATAAAAACATCTTCATCTTCATAAACGTTCCCATTTAAAAAGAAACCCTTAATACTATATGTAGATAACTGAATAGAAATGATTCTTCTTATTGCTTTGAGAGTCTGATATCCAAATAAGTTTGATGTAGCAACTCCAATATTATTCTCTATTAATAAAGCTGATTTGGAGCGATAGCACAGTGGTAGGGCGTTTGCCTTGCATGCAGCCAACGTGGCCGACCCGAGTTCGATTCCTCCGCCCCTCTCGGAGAGCCCGGCAAGCTACTGAGAGTATCTCGCCCGCACGGCAGAGCCTGGCAAGATACCCGTGATGTATTCGATATGCCAAACACAGTAACAACAAAGTCTTCAATGGAGACATTACTGGGCCCGCTCGAGCAAATGGATGAACAACGGGAGGACAGTGACAGTGACCGTGCCCTTCCACTTGTGGCAAGCTTCCATCTCTGGGCCAGACCTCTCTGGGCCAGATTTGTGTCTAGGAAACTGCATGTTACACTCAAACTTGAGTTCAAATATTGCTTCCTCCTCCTGCCACTACACTGATCCTATTGCTAGTTTTGACTATCTAAAAACCTTCTCTTTGACAAATAACAAAAGATGAAAATTTAAAAAAATAGAGATAGAAATTTACATGGAAAAAGAAGAGGATAGGTCAAAGAAAAGGGCAAAAAGAGGGAAGGCTGAGAATATTAAAATGTCAGTAAAGGAAGTAACTGGGGTCAATGCTGTTCTGCTAATAAATTACATAACTTCAAAGCTAGACATTAATGTCATGCTTAATTGAATTTTCCTCTGTAAGTTTTCTATGAGGAGTTTAACAATTGACATGGAAGGAGTTTTGAAAGGAGATGACACCAAGCTCATTATTTCTCATCAAATGTTTTCAGGTAGGAAAAGTTCTATGTCTTAATCATAGGGACATAGAGACTAAATTTATATGAAGACTGTACATTTGAATTTGGATATTTTATTTGAATTAAGGAGTCTATTTATGATTAGTGAGCATGCCATGGTACAATATTTTGCTTAAGAGGCAACTTGACTCACAGTTTCCTTTAAGAATAATTCTAACTTTGTCATTAATATTCATATATATGTATATACATATATCACTCACATAAAAGTCCAACTATAGAATAATAAAATGTAAGTAGTAATTTAGTAGTAGTAATTTATGTAGAAAATATTTTAATATATATATCTTCACCCATGAATGACTTGTGGTTTTTAAATTTTAATAAAAGGAGATAGACCCTCCCCCAATCAGTATTTTTTTCATTCTTTTCAAAACCAATAAGTGAACTTGCAGTTAGAATCTAACGCATGACTTAAATTTAAAAGTGTAATATACATTTATGATCCCCATTTGCTTTTGCTCACCCAATTAGGTCAAAGAATTCTAAAATTGAGATTGATCTATCAAACCAGGCTACAACTATTAACAGAGAACAGGTCCTTATTATTTTTATGCAAATTAAGCTGAGACAGTATTGGAAGCAGAGCTTCTAAAAGTTCATTTTTCAAGGTTTGTACCTTCATAATTCATCCTATGATTTTTATTCACAGGATGATAAATAGCACATTTAATTTCAAAGGACTGAAGCTTGAGGATTATGAATCAGGTACCATAAAAAATGGATAAGTTTCTCTTCAGGGCAAAAACCAAAATAAATTCTGAGAAGGCCATATCATAGAACACATATTTCAACTATTGCAATTTGGAAATTAAAATTAATTTAATTAAAATTAAAAATAAAAGGTGGGTAGGGCGCTTACATTGTATGTGGCCAACCTAGGTTCAATCCTTGGCAGCCCGTATGGTAGCTCTGAGCTCACCAGGAGTAACCCCTGAGGACAGAGCTAGGATTAAGTCCTGAGCAGAGCTAGGTGTGCATCCTCCCCCGACAAAAAAAAGGGATCTTTGCTCTGAAATCTAACTTAGGTTTACATACATCTCTCAGGCTTACCAGAATAATGAATGAATGAATGAAAGAACGAATAAAATTCTAAACAGCAATGATCCCATGATGTATCTGTCCTTGGGATTGTTTTTCAGAAAAGACTGTAGAGGGAGAAGGATGTGATCTTCCCTTTTGGCCCCAATTTCATCCTCCTCTCCACATGCTCATCTTTCTTTGTTCCAGGAAATACTATGCCACCATGAGAAAAGAAGTGGACAGCTAGTATTCCCCTAATCCAAAGAAGCGAATGAGAATATGTAGAAAGTGCAATGGTCTTTAGGCTAGCAGGGGGCTAGGGTGGGGACAGCCAGGTAAAGAATATGATGCTTACTATCACAAACCTCATAAAAGAATCTTTCTCCTTCCTTCTTCTGCTCATGGATTTGCAAGTCAAAGATGTTGGACAGAGACATGGCACATTACAGAAACAAGCACACAACACGTTTTGGACAGAATTTTACATATGGACAATAAACAACTGGTACATTCATTAAAACACACAGTACCACAAAACATCTTTAAAGTTGACATTTCAGAGTAGCATTTAAAAATTAACTACAACCTGAGGAACTGTAAAGGTTATTAGCACATATAGTTGTACATAGAATAAGACATACATGTAATGCAAAGGCACTACCTCCTCCCTCCCATTCACACTTAAAATGTTTTATACACAAACTTAAATTAATACTTATAGATAATAATTACCCTAAATTTTATGAAATATTCAATTATCTTTCCAGTTCTTCAGATAAATTATAAAACATGGAAAATATTACTATGACATTCTATGGCAAAAAGATAAACTACTAATCATCTCAAATTATCCACTTAATAATAGTCTTAAAACATACTCACCTCCTTGCCTCCCATGGATTCAAACATTTTTTCCAGTTGGACTCGCAATTGTTGGATATTATTCATCAATATACAAGGCTTTAAAAAAGATGAGAATTTATTCCATTTTTGAATGAATTTATCTTAAAAGTAATAACATAAAATTATGACTATATATCATATATAACATGAAAAAATTATGTACCATAATAATACATAAATATTCAAGCCATACTGAAAAACAAAATAATTTTGTTGCAAAATGGATGTTGAAAACTTATATGCATGAAACTCTGTTATGGGAAAATTTGCAAATCTCTGTGATGAAAGATAAAAAGATTATTTAACCATGAAAAAGGATGCTTAAAATTTTTTTGAAACACAAGAGATTACAATGTTGTTAGTGATAGGTCCTGCATACATCATTTAACACCACATCTACCATCAGAGTTCCCACTTCTGCTCACAAATTCCCTGATGAACCCTCTCATCCACTGCCCCATCCAGATAAGTTAAGAATGGTTGGTTGCTTTCAGCTGGGTGTGAAAAAAATGGATGGGGAGGGCTAAGGGTGCTTCTCCGTGGCTATCTGGCTACAGACTTGGAGTAGCATGTGAAACTTTCTCTCTAGTCAATTTTCCTTTTTTGACTTTGCTTCATGTGAGAAAGGCTCTGGGTTCAATTGTAGGGTTCACCTCTAAGGAACAAACAAACAAAACAAATGAATAGGGAAGATATAACTTTGGAGAAATCTAGTCCATTATCAGTTTTATGGAGAGCCACTATATAATGACTGTTTGAGAAAATTAGATTTAATAAAACACTCAATAAATCACTGGGGACATACTACTAAAGTTTCTATTAAATGTTGTTTTTAAATATTTTATTTATTTATTTATTATATTTTTGACCACACTCATATGTACCCAGAGCTTACGTCCTTCTGACTCTGCACTCAGGAATTATTTCTAATGGGGCTTAGGACCATCTGTGATGCCAGGGTTTGAACCCAGGTTGGTGATGTACAGTGCTAGTGCCTTCCTTGTTGTACTATTTCTATGGCACCAAACTTTTATTTTAATTAAACCACATGTTATTTCACTGACTTAAGAAACAAAAAAATCTTCATTTAACAATTACCAAACCTTCCCCCGCAAGAAACCTAAGAAAAAAATCCCCAAATCCAAAATACCACACTGGAGCTATAAATTCATAGGTTCTTTATGAATCTGACTTTAATGTATGTTTTATTCTTCTCATCATACCTTTTACTGGTTATTTCTTTCTTGTCTATTAATTATTATGAATTCTCTGAGCCATCTCGCTATAGACTTGGATTAGCATGTGGAACACCCCCTCAAGTCTATTTGCCTTTTTGACTTTTCTCTTTTCCCAATATTCTCCTTTCACTAGCTTGAAATTTGATTTATTTTACATTTGAATTATTTTTACTGTTTCACCAGCTACTATTAGATGCACTGATTGGGATGACTTGTCAATCTGTTATTCTCTTACAGCCTTTTCTGCTGTTTTCTTACAGCCTTACACACAATATACATTTCTTACTTACAGATCCTTACTTACACATAAATTCTTAAGAAAGAAAAATAAGTTCAATTGTATAGTGAAAGATAGAATTGAATGATTAGTAGAGAACTTAATGAATATACATATCATTGCGTGTAATACTGTACACCTGAAACTATAATATTGCTTAATCTGGCTTCAATAAAATAATCAAAGTTAATTAAATTGATAACGTAAAAAGAACTTCTTGATTTGTTTTCAAAGTAGCAGATATTAGAAGTGAAGGCTGTTTCTAGATGGAATCCAATAACAGTAGTAATTAACTTATAATTGGACAATATAATTTAGAATAATTTAATATTTTCTGCTGCATACTGACTCCAAAGAGCCAACAAAATTTTACCAAGGGAAAGAAAACCAAAAAAGGAAGGAAAATGGATCTATCTTCCAAGTTTCTGGGAAATAAGCCAATAGTGAATCAGGGAAAGGCTTGTAAAGGTCTTATAGGACATCAGTGAGGTGTTAGCTTTCGTCAGTGGAAAGATTTTATTATTGCTTTAACCTTTAAGAAACTTTCTACTTGATTCTGAAAGTGACCACATCCTTAATTGAATTTACCAAAAAGCAATTGAAAAGTTATACTTTGTACTCTTGATTCTAGCCTCATCTCAGATACCTGCGTTTAAAAAGGAAATATTGATCTCAAATTCTATTCAATAAGCTCAACCACATGCTCCATAAATGATTTTCCAGCATGATTGAGAATCACTTTATCCAGCCACCTAAAATCCCTTCTGCTTCATGGATGGTCATCGTCTTAATCTGAAGTCAACACGCTAAACCAAGAGACACTGCCACCAGAATAAGATTCCCTGAGATTTTTTTTTTCCCATTGCAAAGAGGGCATGATTTGGCTCAGATTTGTGTGGCTTAGCAGAGAGAAAACAAGTCAAAGGAAGATCATGATTAATGAGAACTGGGAGACTGCATCAGTGAACGGATGAAAGCAAGTTATATAGGCTCCGTGTGCTGACTTAATTTCCATATTTAAACTGAATAGTTTTGAGCCCATGAAAAATTACTCTGGCATTATATTTACAAATAAAAATTAAAAATCCTTATTGATATGCTCGGGTTGCCAGACACAGTAACGACAAAGTCTCCAATGGAGACGTTACTGGGCCCGCTCGAGCAAATCGACAATCAACGGGAGGGCCTTTACCTTTACCTTTATTGATATGCTCATTTTTAATGGAAAAGAACTACTAAGAAACAAGATAAACACAGGCCTACTGGCTCCTCACATGAATTTCTCTAGATCCCAGGTAACTCTACATAGAAAAAAGATGCCGTTATCTAGAGGTAGATAATCATAAGACTTTCCTATTCTTTTATTAGTTTGCCTTGAACTTGAGATGCTCAATTTGAATTTTATTGAGTCAGTTTATCAAATTACTACAGAGAATTGAATTACACGTATCTACCTTGAACCTAATTGTGAAGCAGGTTTTGCTTTAAACACCTATAGAGCAAATAATAAAAATTGAAAGAACCCATAGTAAAGGAAACATAAAGTTATTTAACTCACAAATATATGAGGGGTTTGAGCACCATAGCAGCAGTGCTTGGGGAATAATCCTATTTCTGTGACCAGGGGACATTAACAGCATTGTTTTGAGACTATACACAGGACAGTGCGACAGTGCTACACAGTATTGAAGATAAAGCAAGTGTCTTGTATTCTATCTCTCTGGCCCAGAAATAGAAATTGCTTAATTGTCTCAGATAATTTTATTTAAGGCAACATACTTTAAAGTCAAATTGTAATGTTTCAATTTGCATATTTGCCCCTAACATACCAAAATATATATAATTGTATTTAAGACACAAAGAAAATTAGGAATCTAAATACAATAAATATGGAATCTAAATACAATAAATACAAAAAATTAGTTTTTTGAGAAAAATGGTAATTTCTTAATTGACTTGAAAAAGAAAATTATGTTTAAAAGTTTCTAGCTCAAATGCAGATAAAAAGATAAATTGAAGAACAAATACTGAGAATTTTTTAAAAAGTTTTCATGTTCTTCTTATTCCGAGATGAGGAAAGGAAAAGTAAATCCCCGAGCTGTGTTATTAGCATTTTTTTCTTAATAAAATTTTAATTTTGAAAAGTGTGAGCCCTACAGGAAAATATAAAAAGAATTATACAATAGGCACTTATTTAAATTTCTCCAAGACATACAAAAATAGATATATACAAATATATGTACTAGAGAATATTAACAAAATATTGTTACAGGGACCTTTTAATATTCATTTCAGAATGTTAAGAATCAACCTCTCTCCTTTTGGGTACACTGGTGGAGGGATGGGTACTAGATCATTGTATAACTGAAACCCAAGCACAAAAATTTATAAGTCTACAACTGTACCTCATGGTGTTTCACTAATAAAATTTTTTTAAAAAAGATAAGTGATCTGAACACTAAAATTAAAAAAAAAGAATCAACCTCAGCCACCTTTCAAAAACTTAAATTTGACTAATAAATTAATTTTTTATTTTGTTTTTTGGGTTGCTATATCTGGCAGTTCTCAAGACTTACTACTGGTTCTGTGTTCAGTAATCGCTCTTGGTAGTGCTCAGGCATCACCCCTGGCAGTGCTCAGAGGACCATATGTGACACTGGGGAATAAACCCAGGCGGTCAATCATATGTCAGGCAAATGTTCTGCCTGCTGTACTATCTCTCCACTTAAACTAAATCCTTACTAAAATTTCTAGGAAGAATTTGATTTAAAATATATTACTATTTATGTCTTATGAATATTTAATTAAAATATATGCTTCAAAGAAATAGTCTCCTCAGAGTATTTATAATCAATGAAAGTTAGAGATATGTGCTGATATAATTAATAAAATCTCTGGACAGGTGTTAATTTAAGGGAAAGACAAATCTTCTAGGACCTTTAAGAACCAATATGACTCAATGAGCTGTCAGCAAGAGGTCAGTGAGACTTCAGGAAGACTGTTAAGTTTTATCAGAATCTTCTCTTATATTTGCCTAATAAAATTGATTTTCAAGAGTAAAAAGAAGATATTCATTTTTAACGTCATTGTAGAGAATTTAGGATGATTTTTCAGTGCTATTCTCTTTCTATTCTATGAACAATATATTTTTCCTAATATTGCATATGGTGAATAAGAAATATTTCATCTTCCACTAAACTAAATCTAAGTGATTTCTCAATTTCTCAATCATCTAAAAATAATAATTTAATAACTCAGAGTAATGAGCATTATCTCTTTAGCTAACTTTCAATTTACTTGAAAACTGAAAAAGCAAATTCTTTTATTTTAGGAGTAGTACCCAAATTAAATTAGTTTATGTTAATGGTAAACTCTCTAGTTTTCAGTGCCAGTGATTTATGAGTATGTGGGCCTTCAATATTTTATGAAGTTTTTCCCGTGTTATGATGGAAAAATACAAGTTGGCAAGCCTTAAGATGCTCTTGATCCTACGAATTCCGTACTGTAACCAGCTTAGACCATTTCTTGATATTCCCATTTCTTATCATTTAATATGAAACAAAATAGAGAAAAACATTTTACCTTGCTTATTTATTAGTTTGAAGAAGTGACTCTGAACTGAGGAATAATTGAAAGTCAGAACATTCTTACTTACCACATTTTCTTTGTCACAATAGGAACTGAAATCACTTGATAAAATTGCAGCATACTGGAGCAGTATTTTATTGATAGTCTAGGGGAAAAGGGAAAATGTTTCCAAGTAAGTATGCAGCTATATATGTACATCCACACACAAATGCATGAACACACACAAGTACACACACAGAGTCCAGGCTAATGCTAATAATAAATTTTCATATCTTTTTTCAACCGAAAGAGGGCTGGCATTCTTTTGACCATGCTTTTACCATGTGTCTTAAATTACTGTATTTAGATAACAATGGGTAATTTTTCCTGCGGATGTTTCCTTTGGTGAGGGCGCACCAAACAGTGCTCAGAGTACCCAGGGACACTGCTGTTTTGGGGTCAAGTAGGTTGATATTTATTTATTTATCTATTCATTTTATTGAGTCACCATGAGATAGTTATAAGCTTTCATGTTTGGGTTACAATCACGCAATGATCAAACACCCATCCCTCCACCAGTGTACATTCCCCATCACCAATATCCCCGATATACCCCCCCTTTCCCATCCCCCCTTGCCTCGATGGCAGATATTATTCCTCATAATCTCTTTCTACTTTGGGGCATTATGGTTTGCAAAACAGACACTGAGAGGTTATCATGTTTTGTCCTTTATCTGCTTTCTGCACACATCTCCCATCCCAACCGATTCCTCCAGCCACAATTTTCTTAGTGATCTCTTTTCTATTCCAGCTGCCTTTTCTCCTTTGCTCATGAGGCAGGCTTCCAGCTATGGAGCAATCTACCTGTCCCGTGTATCTACTCTCCTTAGGTGTCAGCCTCATGTTATGTTGTTTTATACTCCACAAATGAGTGCAGTCCTTCTATGTCTGTCCCTCTCTTTCGAACTCATTTCACTTAGCATGATACTCTCCATGTCTATCCATTTATAAGCAAAGTTCATGACTTCATCTCTCCTGAAAGCTGCATACTATTCCACTGTGGAGATGTACCAAAGTTTCTTTAACCAGTCATCTGTTCTAGGGCACTTGGGTTGTTTCCATATTTTAGCTATTGTGAACAGTGCTGCAATGAACATATAGGTATAGATGTCATTTCTACTGTGATTTTTGGCATCCTCGAGATATATTCCCAAAAGTGGTATTGTGGGGTCATATGGAAGCTCAATTTCTAGTTTTTGAAGTCCGTATTGTTTTCCAGAAAGGCTGGACAAGTGGGCATTCCCACCAACAGTGAAAGAGTGTCCCTTTTCCCCCACATCCACACCAGCACTGGTTGCTTTTGTTCTTTAGAATGTGTGCCAATCTGTTTGGTGTGAGATGATATCTCATTGTTGTTTTGATTTGCATCTCTCGGATGGTTAGCGATGTGGAGCTCTTTTTCATGTGCCCTTTGGCCATTTGTATTTCTTTTTTGAGGAAACTTCTGTTCATTTCTTCTCCCCATTTTTTGATGGGGTTGGAGGTTTTTTTCTTGTACAATTCTACTAGTGTCTTATATATCCTGGATATTAATCCCTTATCAGATGAATATTGGGTAAATATTCTTTCCCATTCTGTGGGCTCTTTCTGTATCTTGGTCACTGTTTCTTTTGAAGTGCAGAAGCTTCTTACTTTGATGTAGTCTCATTTGTTTATGTTTGCTTCCACTTGCACGGTCGGTGCGGTTTCATCCTTAAAGATGTTTTTAGCTTCAATGTCGTGGAGAGTTCTGCCTACATTTTCCTCTGTGTACCTTATGGATTCATGTCTGACATTGAGGTCTTTAATCCACTTTGATCTGACTTTTGTGCCTGGAATTAGACAGAGTTCATTTTTTTTTGCAGGTAGCTATCCAGTTTTCCCAGCACCACTTGTTAAAGAGGCTTTCCTTGTTCCACTTTATATTTCTTGCTACTTTGTCAAAGATTAAGTGGCCATATATTTGGGGGTCTGTGACAGAATATTCAATTCTGTTCCGTTGGTCTGCAGGTCTGTTTCTAGCCCAGTACCATGCTGTCTTAATTACTACTGCTTTGTATTAAAGTTTGAAGTTGGGGAGGATGATGCCACCCATCTTCTTTTCCCCAAGGATTTCTTTAGCTATTCATGGGGGTTTATTGTTCCATATGAATTTCAGGAGTGCTTTTAGAAAAATGTCATGGGTATATCCTGATAGGGACTGCATTGAATTTTATAGTGCTTTGGGCAGTATTGCCATTTTGATAATGTTAATCCTCCCTATCCATGAGCAGGGGATGTGTCTCCATTTCCTGGTATCCTCTTTTATTTCTTGAAGTAGTGTTTTGTAATTTTCCTTGTATAGCTGATTAAGCTGATTCCGAGGTACTTGATTTTCTGAGGTACTATTGTGAACGGGATTGTTTTTTTAATTATCTATTTCTCTTTCGTTATTTGTCTATATGAAAACCATGGACTTGGGTTTGATTTTGTAGCCTGCCACTTTACTCAACCGACCTATTGTTTCTAGAAGTTTTTCTTTAGAGTTTGTAGGATTTTCTAAGTATAGTATCATATCGTCTGCAAATAGTGATAGTTTGACCTCTTCCTTTCCTATCTATATACCCTTGATACCTTTTTCTTGCTTAATTGCAATGGCCAGGACTTCCAATACTATACTGAGTAGGAGTGGCGAAAGTGGACAACCTTGTCTTGTGCCAGATCTTAGAGGGAAGGCTTTTAGTTTTTTCCCATTGAGAGTGATACTTGCCATGGGCTTGTGGTAGATAGCTTTGGCTATATTGAGGAAAGTTCCTTCAATGCCTATTTTGCTGAGAGTTTTCATCATAAACAGGTGCTGGATCTTCTCAAATGCTTTCTCTGTGTCTATTGATATGATCATATGGTTTTTATCTTTTCTTTTGTTGATATGATGGATTGTGTTGATCAATTTCCGAATGTTAAACTAACTTGCATCCCTAGGATGAAGCCTACTTGGTCATGGTGTATGATCTTTTTGATGAGTCGTTGGATTCTATTTGCTAATAGTTTGTTGAGTAGGTTAATATTTAATATTGGGGCTAATGATGCTGTTCTGCTAATATCTGCAATGCCAGAAACACCTCAGAACCAGTCTAGAGGTGCTTAGGGTTTTGAAGGCTATACTCAGAGAAAGTCACATAGTGCTAGGGGGTCACAGGCATAATCCTTTGCTATCTTTTTGGCTCAATATATTTTTAATTTTATTTTTTAATTTATTTTCAGTTTTGGGCCCCCAAAACAAACAGGCAGTGCTCAGGGCATATTCCTGGCTCTGTGACCAAAGATCACTCCTGTCAAGGCTTAGGGACAATTTGGATGCTGAGGATTGAACCCAAGTTGGCAATATGCAAGGAAAGAACCTAGCTTTGTACTATCACTCAGGTCTGCTAAATATTTTTTGCAAAATAACTGTAAGAACATGAAATTTGAGATGACATAAAAAAAGGTGATAATATTCATTAATTTAAATTAATATATCAGAAAATATAATTTTGTTGCTTTTTCTTTTTGTTTTGGGGGCTACATGTAGCTCACTCCTGTATCTGTGCAATGGGTTACTCCTGGCAGTGTTTGGGTGACAATATGTGGTCTTAGGGACTGAACCAGTGTTAATCATGTGTATCTAAGGCAGGTACCTTAGCTCTCTGGCTCTGAAAAATATAAATATTAACAGCAGAAGGCCAGCTAAGAAAACATGACTCATCAGACTGAGGTATTTTCCAAATGCAGCTCATTATTTCATTCAAATTTCAAATTTCACTTTAGACTAATATTGAAAATTTGGGATTTACCTATGGGACAATAAATAATCACTGTGTATATAAATACGAATTTTAAGTTATAGGTTCTAATAACAGCATAAACTGTAGAAATTGTTTCCTCATATTGCAAAAATAACAACAAAAGCCTGACCTTAGAAGCTTTAGCAACTCAAACTGTGTAACTTGTTCAAGGTAAATTTTGGGTAGAAAAACTCACATATCCGTTTCTGTTTATACTTAAGGTGTCCTTGTGATACATTTCTCAGTTATTCATAGAAAACTGTAGTCTCTTGAGTTCCTGCTTGTAGACTACAAATTTAGAATCTCATAATTATGAGGCTTCAAATGTTAATGTTTAGCAAATTAGTACGTTTCAGGTAAAGAAAAGTGCTCAGCTAAATGGGAAATAATCAGTTTTGTGCCCATAAGTGTGGGTAGACTGGATGTAATGAAATTCATTTCTTTACTAACATACTAAATATTTTTTTGCAAAATAACTGCAAGAACATGAAATTTGAGATGACATAAAAATATAAGGTCATAATATGCATCAATTTAAATTAATATATTGGAAAATATAATTTTGTTGCTATTTCTGTTTGTTTTGGGGGCTACATGTAGCATTGGTTAAAGATATCATTGCTGAGAAATTCCCAGAGCTGGAGAATGCAGGCATCCAGATCCAAGGAGCCCAAAGGCTACCAGCTAAAAGAGACCCTAATAAAAATACTGCAAGACACCTCATAATCAGAATGAAGGATACCAGAGATAGAGACTTATTACTGCAAGTAGCAAGGTCAAAAAAAGGAAACCACATACAAAGAAGCTGGTCTCACGAGCTGGCAGAAAAGGAGCTGGGATAGAGAAGGGACCACTAAGTAAAGATGGTTGGAGGGCTTGCTCTGGAAGGGAGATGTGTGCTAAATGTAGGCTATGGACCAAATATGATGACTGCTTAGTACCTGTTTTGCAAACCATAACACCCAGGAGAATAAGAGGGAATGTGCCTGCCACAGAGGGAGGGGGAGGGAAGGGGTTGGGGTGACTGGAGGGTTACTAGGTACATTGGCGATGGAGAATGGGCACTGGTAGAGGATGGTTACTTGAAACTAGTATGACTGAAATGTAATCATGAAAGTTTGCAAGTCTGTAAAATGTAAAAAAAAATCAAAAGCAGAAAAGAGGTCCAGATAAAATTCTAGTAGGATTATGACAGCGAAGAGAAAGCTTCTGTCACAGTTACAGGATTAGACATGATGACTGAAACATCCAGTAGCCTAAGTCTACTTTGATTTGGTCTGCATTTGTTATTTTAATGAGTGGAATGTTCTTCCAGTTCGCATTA